CAAGAACAATCCTCGAACATTACACCACCGAGACCATCCTGGACTGTGCAACAAAGTGTTCCTGTCCACACTGGTGTTGCTCAGTGGATGCAGGCTCAGGTGTACAGGGTAGTACTTGCATGTGCATGTGGTGATTGTGCTGTGAAATGGTACTAAAGCACACACTAGTGATGTGGCTTCTCAGAATCCTCTTATTCGTCTCAGCGTTCAGGAGAACTCAATGGACACCACTGACTATGAGGAAGGTGAGATGGTAACAGGTGCCAAAGGGGCTAATAGCAGACAAACCATCTTTGCTGTCCAATGTTTTTATTTTGTCATATATCAGTCTCTTAGGAAAAGACTTCAACCCTGTTAAAATGAGCCTGGATCCTCAGCATGCTCATAAGACCCAGTATCAGAACAGAACAGAAGAGAACAGAATCAGTCTTTTGTGTCATTTGATGTGAACACTACAGAAACGTTTTCATCACACAGTGGCTCTGCATGATTGTTTTAGCTTTAAGTCTGCATTTCAGATATTTCACTGATTTTTTCCATTGGATTCCTGTTTTCTATCCATGTCTTTGTTTCCAGATGGAATATGCCAGTCATGATTTCTGAATGACCGCTAACTGTGAATGAAACAACATGAAGCTTTTTATTCAAGGACCTATTATTTAGGTGACTCTCAGATCCTAATGGAACCTGTGATTACAAATGTAACCCTACAATATAGATGTTAGTTTGTTGTCTGCTCCAGGTGTCTCAATACAGTTGTCAAGTTCATGTACATTCAAATAATTTCAAACAATAAAGTCACCAATCTTTTCTATCTTATATATAGATGTGCATAACCATGTGAGTTCACTTTAGGGTGCTTACATTTCAACTAATGCTGAAAATTATACAGTTCTTTTCATTGACCGTGTATCCTACAAACTATAAAGTCCAGAGTACTGTGTAATCATATTATACATAGTGTACATCACCCCGTCCCCTTGTCTCCACACAAGTCCTATCCATTTATTATTGGCAGGTAGAATCAATTCTGATCCACCTTCACGCTCAACAAACTGAACAGCTCCCATTTGCACAGAGTCCTAAAATAAACCTCAACAACGCCATTTCTATGTCTGACAGGATGTCGGCAAAAGGGCATCGGAGGGGGGCGGGAGGCTGGCAGGGTTTCTAAAGAGGACATTAAGTTCGCATCACGCTTGAGTCAAGCAACTCTGACGTCACACAGCTTACAGCGCCACGGGATGGTGAAGAATAATAACTGAGGACAGACAGGTTTCTGTGCAGGTAAGAGGCAAGTTGTCCGTTGCTAAAAACAATCATTCGACTGATAATGATTTTAGGTACTTCTGAATAAAACAGCAAGTGACAGTCTTTTATTATTAGGTATCCACTGACACTGAGTCTGTTCCTGAACATAATTTACTTCACTTAAATAGTAATGTAACTGACACACTGACATATCACAGCTGCAGACTAGTTAATCTCACATACGTTATTTTTTATGAGCATCTCTTGATTCCAAAAACTGAAAGTCGTGCTTTAAAAAGATCAGGCCTCAATTAATCAAATAAATTAACCCATATATGTTTCACAGGGGTGTTACGGAGTGGGGGTTCTTCCCTCACAAACAATATATTTGACACATATTGAGAGCCACTAACAGGAAACACGAGCCAATAACAGTCAAGTTTAATTTAGGCCTATCATCAACTTACTGACAGAATTCACATTAATTGGTGACAGCAGACGCTTTTCTTCTCAACTGGTGAGAGCCACGCTCTGCAGGGCCAAATAAAATCAGAAGCTGTAGTCTGAGTTTTCCTCCAGCTCTTCTAGTAATTATTATCGGCAGAGCGTAGTGAACCTAAGCATCTTTCCAACCTCAGTGTGTGAACTCAGGGTCGGTCACTGCTGTGCCTAATTAATATTTCACTTTCACAGGCTAATTTTCACGGGCGTACGCAGCGGGAAGCTGCCGCAGTGTGAGAACAAAACAATCTCGAATGGATCTGATTATGATCGGAGTTATTTTAGCGAATATGATAGACTGAAATATGCCATGAATGGCCCTGACAGTCATCTTTAGGATAGTCATGGTATCATGCATGCTGGTTCACTGTCACATTGCTGTGTCTTTATGGTTCCATTATCACCTGCACGTCTCGTACTACAACAAGAAACAAAAAACTACTGTCGCAACAACATGTGAGAAAGTAAGAGACACACACACACACACACACACACACACACTTTTTATGTGCAGAACTCCAGAAATAAGCTATGACAAAATGTTGTTTTACAGCATCTGATTATGTTTTGTGTTTTCAAATTAGCATATTGCATCTTTTCATTTGCTATAAGCCCTCATAATGTAGTTAAACAGCATTATAAGTACTATAATACTTTGCAAGGTCAAGCATTACAATGCTGATAATTTCTCCATTTCACTAAATCTCCCCATCTGCAAACTCTTTCAACTCGACAAGACGGAGATGAGGCTGGTGTGGACACACTACAGTTCCAGACCAGTGCAGGTCACTACACACGGGTTCTAAAAGTCTCTCAACCTCTCAGTCAAAATACTAAATAAAGCAGTGTACAGTTATAAAGCACAATGCAGATTTCAACAGTCTAATACATCATTGATATAAATCACATCGAGAGTGTTACTGTCTAATTCCTGTTTTTGTAACAGACTTCGATGATTTCAGCTGAAGTGTGCGAGTTATCAGGCTCAGAACAAACTGAACGACAAAGCCTGTGCTACATTGATTTATCTCATCAGGTCGAGGTTCAAGTGTGCTTGTTATCAACACACACACGTCATGTTCTGTGTTCACTGTGAGGGATTATCAACAGAAAACAGCAAGTTGTGGCATCGGCTCATTCAAATTAATTTGAATCGTTTTAGATTATGCTAATAGCCACTCAAACTCATGCGAAAAAATATCACAGACCTACTGTAAATCCATTCATGTATTCTCTATTAAACTGGGACAGTCCAGGGAAAAAGACACAACAGTTGCCCCATCTTCTGAAATTATTAGACCTTAAACTTTACAGTAGAATACTACAGGCATCTGTAGTGTATCTGAAAACTGTTACCATGATTCCACATGGCAGGTGCAGCAACACGTAGACACAATCAAGCTTCAAGCAGAAAAAGAACAAGTATACACAACTCAATAGCTGTCATTACCCAATAGGAGAATAAACACCCCACTTTGAACAATGAGCCTTGTAACTGTACAGCCTCCCTTTCCTCTCCTGTCTTCATACTGAGTGTGAGTGTGCACATGTGCATGCCTGTGCATGCGTGTGTTTGTGTGTCTGCATGTCTCCAAGAGAAAGACCTCTGATTTCCCACAGTGCCAAGCATCATTTACAGTCTCACACGCCTCACACTCTCTCCAGGCTTAAAGCTTTGCCTGACAATTCGCTCGATATCCTAACTGCAACAGATACTGTCCAACAGCTTAAATCAGCTGATGCAAAAGGCCAGCACTGCGTGTGATCAGCCATGAACTACTGAAAAGAAAAATGCACAAAGCTGCAGAAAAAACTGATTAAAATCCATCATTTTTCAATTACTGCCATTTTAAATGATGGATTTAAACCCAAGCCAGTTATGTTTGAAGCCAAATTATTCCTGCATGAAACACAAAAAGCTCTCTTTAATCCCAGCGCTCTGAAAGCAGAAATGTGAAAGGACATATTCTTCTTACAAATGTACAAATGACGGTCTATGGCCTTAAAACGCTCTGGTGAAAAATGAAATGTCACAGTCGATTTAGCTCGACTTTCTGACAGGAATGCCAACAAGAGCCGAACCCTATCACCTCTTTCAAATCAATAGCTGCCTCACGGTTAATGGTGTTCTCTTATTCAACATTTTCCTGCAGCGCAACACTTCGGTAGCCGCTGCGGCGTAATTCTTCTGATGTCCTAACAGCAGCGAGGTGTTACAGTTTTATTTGGGTGAATTTCTACAATAGGTACTGACTTTGTCAGGGTTATGTATGACTACATGGCACTGACCAACATAGCCACGGGGAAAATAATCAGTTCGGTAACACTGCAGTGGACGAAAAGACAGCTTTATGAGAGCAGAAACCCACTGTGGCCATTCATGAGGGAAAGCTTTGAGGTTCTCCTGTCAAAGCGCAGCATGGGTAGCCTCCAGCAGTATAAAATGAATTGGTACTATAATAAACACGAGGGCAGCCAGTAATTTGCGAGTAATTTGTCCTGGCTGTAGAAAGACTGATGTCCTCTCGAAGCACAGTGTGTAGCACTGATGCATTTAATGCGTGTCTTTTGTGGATTGAAATCTTGAGATCTAGTATAATGGACAGGCCAATACTTAGCCCCGACCTTTCCTCAACAGCACCAATGGCAGCTATGCTCAATAACTGGTGTCTCAGCTGAAGACCACTTCTGTTTTCTTTAAAAGAGTTATAAGAGAAGTCTTATATCACTTTCATTATTGCACTGTAAATATGAAGCTAGAGCAAGCTAACTTAGCTTAGCATAAAGACTGCAACACAGGGAAACAGCTGTGACCTAGTAGAATAGCCTAGTGACTGTCATAATGCCATTTTACTGTATAAATGCAGCTCTAGAGATACATTTAATTAAAAATACCGAATTTCATCGTATCCTTTAAAAATACAATAGTTTTCTAACAATCCTTCAGTTAAAAATATAAAACAAAACATCTTTTTTCCTATGTGATATATAGGAACAGTTCTGTCATTCGTTATGCTAAACTTTCCTACTCTGCAATTAGTTCTTCCCATGAAAATGAACATGGGTTCAGAGCTATTTGACGATGAAAATGCACCAACTGCGATACTATCAAACCTGTCTAGTGTGAATCTGAATGAGTTAACACTTGGCTACAGAGTGACATAAGGTGGAGCCCCTACAATCTCAAGCCACATCTCGGCACAAAGGAGCATCTTTAACCTCCTGACGTACATGAACAGAGAACTTACCCTGTCCTTCATCCTCCAGCTCTGTGCTAACGCCTTGGAGCCCTCGATCTTCTCAGAGTGGCGTTTCTTCATGAAGGCCAGAGGAAGCTTCCAGTCATTCATGTCAGCCTCCTCTTCCTCAGTGAGGCCCACAGCTGGGGAATGAAGCAAGTCTGACTCCATTTTCATCAGGGCCCTGCATGGGAAGCAGACACTTTAGTTAAAAAAAATATTTTTAACAGATTTCTGTGATTTCTTACAGTGTGGTCCACATGGTAAACTAGAACATGATCACAGCTGTGGGTGATCCATTATTTCACAACAATGAAAATGGGTTTCCCCTAAAGATCAAAGACAAATCAAGTTACTATTCAGCTTTGTTAGGATAAAGATAAAAGATTTGTGTTGAGTGTGTATTTTACACACTTTGATGAGACACATTAGCCATTTTCCCTTCATCAGAATGAGTTCCAAGGTGACTTGTCAAGAAAATCATCGAGATTGTTATAATTTTATGACATTTAAATTACATTATCACTTTGTCCACCCCAATGATGTGGATCCAAGCTACATTCACAAACCAACTGAATTTAAGCCTTCTCTATGAGAAACCTCTGCTGATTGGCCAAATTATCAAGTTTCTGTATGGGGTCATTCATCCATTGCTTATTTGAAAAATAACTCAATGTGAGCTGGCTGTATGGTGGATGAGGAGCTGCTGCCAGAAAAGGACTCGATGTCAGCAGTGTGGCAGTGGTTACTATGCAGTCAAACATTTCTCAAAGTAAAGTCAAAGTCATGTTGATAGTGGAAATTATGGACCAAAAATAATCCATTATAAGGAAAAACAGTACATCTACAGTAAGATATCACACAAGCAACCTGTCCAGGGTGTACCCAGACTTTTATCCAATGTCAGCTGGGATAAGGATAAGCATAGTATAAATATTGAACAAATTTAAATGAATTGGACTGAGTTGAGTTGAGATGGGGCAGATTGACAGACTGACAAATGGACGGATGTGAAATTAAAGGCACAGTGGGGTCAGGCTCCTGATAATCATTCACTCTTTGATCACATAGTTCCTGAGTTAAATCAAAAATGTTACAAAGTTGTTCTTTGAATGCTTGTGTTCTGACATTCCTCAACATGTGAGGACTTCTTGTGAAAAGTGAATTCTGATCCTCAGGGCTAAGGGCTTTTAATAAGCATAATAGCTGCAGCATCCTATTTGCACTAGCATAAGAAAGGGACGTTTCCATTAAGAGACCTCAACTACTGTGATGCTGCAAGCAGATCGTTCGGTTGGAAACTGTGTCAAATCAGGGATACACTGATTTCAACACAAGAGTTTAAGAAACCTCAAGAGATGCTGAGTTACACTTAATGACAGTCAACACACACATGGGATGCTGGCTGGGCGTCATGTGTAGTGAATCTCCTGCTTGGATGAAAACCACAACAAGAGAAGTCACACACACTCCACATGGATGATGTCATGTGAACACAGGCTGAGCCGCAGGTGTGTGTGTGTGTGTGTGTGTGTGTGTAGCTGCAAACACGTTCACACATCTCTGCCTGTGTCAACACCACAGCTGCCTCCATCGCTAACACACACCGGTCAGCTAGCTTACTTAGCCCAGCTAGCGCGGCTCATCTGACAGCCCCCCTGCAGCTCGCTGTCAGACGGAGTGAGGAGCGAGTGTTGTGAAAAGATTTTTTTTTTTTTTCCCAGTCATGTTTGAAACAACCTGAGCAGAGACACGTGTGCGTGAGAGCAGATGTGTGGAAATGGCGCTGGTGGTGGTGGTGGTGGTGGTAGCGAAGCGTGCAGATGCAGACCTCGGTGGTGTGGGGTTATCTACCCGGGCTGAGGAAGCTCTGCGCCTCCGGACGATGACGGACACTGTGGCACAAACGATCCTGGTGAGAAAGTTGTAGGGCAGCGTCCACAGCCTGTAGAGTATGTCAAACCCGTCAAAGCCGAGCTGGACGGGTGCGTGTTTGCAGGGGAATCCGCGGCTCCTCTCCCCACGGCTCTTCGCTATGGGAAGGGGCTGGAGACGAGGCCCATCTTCACACGGACAGTCTGCCACAGCCACGCGAAGCCCCGGCCGCTCTTATCGATGACTGGGCTCCTGCGGTCTCCTTCTACAAACCAGCGACCCTCGGAGGTGATTCTGCGCGACGGTGCTCGCGGAAATCCCACGAAATCCCGAGAGTTTCTCCGGAGAGCACTTCTTCAGCACTTCTGTAAGGGCGCAGCCATCTTGGGTTGGACCCAGAATGCACTGTTGGTGCGGCGGGGCTGTCGTGATACGTCACCGCTCCTGTCAGACAGCACAGTGTACACACACACACACACACACACACACACACACACACANACACACACACACACACACACACACACACACACACACACACACACACACACACACACACACACACACACACACACACACACACACACACAGTAACTGTGGCAAATTATAGGCAATATTATAAATATTATAAACACCAGACAAAGGATTGTACACCATGTAAAAAGTAAAAGAGGATTGTGCAATAAACAATACGATATTTACAACTGTCCACAGATGTATTCATTGTTTGATATGTGTTTTTTCAAAATCCCATGAGAACCATGTAAAGATAAGGTTTTTAATTTGCATCAAAATATTATTTGTTGCATTAGTTTTTCACTCTTGATAGCCTTCAATAAATAAAGTTGTCTGAAAAAATTTAAAGGCACAGACGGAATGATTTTTAAACTGCACAGATTTCTAAATCCAGAGGCTGAACATTACACATCTTTTCCCATCCCAATCCATTTGAAATGATACAGGTGGAAGAAACAGGTAATTTGGCATCCTGAGACTTGACCAACACAAGTCAATTAATCTACCAAGAGACACATTCTGAACAGGCACTGCACTTGTCCAACCAAACTGCAACAGCAAATACATTGTTCAGGAAATGTATTTGCTACTTGGATCATATTCAGAGGCAATGTTTTGAAAAAAATGAATGAATGGATGGATGGGGTGTCCAAAGTGCACAGTAGTCACACCAAAGACTATGGAAATGGAAGTTTGAGGCTTGTGTTTGCACACGCAGCACTTACACATCATCCTAATCATGGGCAGCAGTAGCTCAGTCCATAGAGACTTGTCCAGCATGGACCAAAAAGTATGGAAGGTGGACTGGTAGCTGGAGAGGTGCCAGTTCACCTCCTCTGCACTGCTGAGGTGCCCTTGAGCAAGGCACCGAACCCCCCAATTGCTCGCAGGGCGCTTCTCCGGGGCTGCCCATCACTCCATCTCCATCTCTCTCCACATTTGCATGTCTATGAGCCCTTTGTGTGTATGGGATTGTGTTTCAGGGTTAAAAACTGCATGTATAAAAATTAGTGTAAAAAGAATTTCCCCTTGAGGGATCAATAAAGCATCTCTTCTTCTTCTTCTTCAATCATTCATGTGATGGTAGACTTGTGGCTACTTTGCAAACAGGTCAAATACACTCCCTTCCACTGCTAACTTGCAATGAGCTGAAAGTCATTGGCTGCAGATTCAGGTGATAAACCTCTAGGTTCTTACTGATCATAATCAGTTTTTTCATACTGGATAATTCACATGATACAATTCCACTCGTTGTGTGTGTTATTGTTTAACATTGTGCTCATGTTTGCTGTGCACAGCCCAGCTTTTCTCAGCACCTGCATGAGTCAAGTGAACAAAATGTATTGAGGCTCCATGTGATCCGTCCCCGACATCCTTTGCTGTCAGGCCTCACACTCACTTCTCATACAGCAGGATCTAAAGGTTTGTTTTTGAAAGTAGAGGCACAGGGGAGAAAAAGCTGCCCCATCTGTCTCAGAGTCTTTTGACTCTCCCACACTAAAGTGTTTGTCCCACACAGGCAGGCACTGGTGACATCACTGAGAGGCCTTTAATTGGACGACTACAATCAACATGTTTACCAGTTTGTTCTTGGTCAACAAAGAGATTTGCTCTGAGGCCTTCGATGACTTTATTCAAACCCGACACGTTTGTCTCTGGCTCAAAGGACAACTCTGCGTTGAGATGAGTCACAGCTTCCTTTGGGCTGTCAGCTCATCAGAAACCATGAAAACACTACACCAGATGGATGGAACATGGAAATATTCCTCTCTCTGTATTAGCCCGTGCAGCAATCATCTGTGCAGCCTCTGGTCTTGGCCACGCTAACGGCGCAGAAGCAATCTGGTAAGAAAGAAACTCAGGTACAGCCAAACAAATTTGTTCCTCTTGCTTCCTGGTCCTGGTGTCCACTGCAGGGGGGAAACTAATCCAATCTTCTGGGTGTGATGGAGGTTGGGAACGTGCGGTAACTGATAGCTAACAGAGGGGAGAGGAAAGAGAAGATTAGGCTACTTTTTTTCCTTTCCTCTGTCATGTAGGGAACACGGTGACATGATCAACTGGGCTGAATCATGGAAGTTGGAGCTAAATAAGTCAGGGGGAGGAAAAGGCTAAAAACCATGTTCGCAAGGATTGATTGTACCAAGGCGTGAGAAAGAGCGAGAGAGAAAAGACATTGATGGATGGATGAGTTAACGCGAGAGAGGGCTTCATGAGTAGAAGCTGTGCTATCATGTGATCCTCCACCAGCACCAACAGATCAGTGACTCCCCCAGAAGGAAACTGTAGACACAGAGTTGAAATGGAGCATTAATCCTATTCTCTGGTGCTCTCAGGTTTCATAAAGATACACATTTCCAGGAATGGTTTCCTGGTTTCACATTTGTGGGGTTTGTGTATCAAGTTCAACAACATTTAAAATATTGTATTGGTCTATACTATAAGCAAATCCTTGAAAACCCAGTGACATTTAAACTCTTTCGAGAAACTTTCCAGGAGGATAAAAGGTTATTCTCATTTTTTGTGTCCACAATAAATGGCAGAATCTTTGTCCATCTTATCAATGTCCCTATCGCTGTCTCCAAGCTAGGCTTACAGTCTGTCGATAAAAACACTACTAACACTAATGGTTACATATTGGTGATTAGTGATTACTGCTCCCGAGGTGGCAGCTCCAGTGAAAGCTTCAACCTTCATAACTCACACTCAAGGTTGACTGAAGATATGAATTGTAAATCCATCAAGTGCCCGAATGAAATTTGTGAGACGATGATTGCTGAAGTGTGTGCCTAAAATGATATTTATGTTTAGATGGACAGAATATTAGTTTTACCTGCTGCCAGAAGCTGCAGTGGGAAGACAGTGGGCTGTGGGTGATACACAAAATACTGCAGGTTTGAGTTGGATGCTGGGGCTGCAGCTGATACATGAACAATAAATGTAGACTAATGGGAATGGCTATCATTGAAAGTAACTAGATTCTAGGGAGGGTGCTGTGCCAGTCTCTGAAAGTCATGGTAATGAGTAGAGCTGCCACTAACAATTATTTTCATTGATAAGCAATAAGCATTTTATATTTTGGTAAATCGTTTTTTCTGTAAAGCTTTACAAAACTGTTTATGTAGCTTCAGTATTCTGCTGTTCAGTCTGTCTTTTTCTTTTTAAGTTTTGTTATCTTCTATTTAATAGAAGACAAGATAATCTTAAGAAGGAAGGACTCGGGCTGCAGGTGGAAGCTGAGGGTTGCTGCTGAGACTGGTGAGGCAGGAGCCGGTGGAGGCTGCAGTTGGCTGATGGGACTTTAATGCAGAGGACTTTGTCATTGTGGGCTGAAACAAGATGTAGGCATATTCTGTGACTGTACAAAGTTGAACAAATACAGTTGGAGTGTCAAAAGTATTTATGTTTCATTTATGTTTTTACAGTGACCTTCTTATCACCGAGTCCAGGGAGGTGACTGGGAGGTGCAGGTAGGGTCTGGTTAAGAGGCGGATGGGTGACTGCAGAGGGTTCACAGGTTGATGTTGAGTCCACACTGCAACTGTCAGGGGCTGTAGGCACAGGCCGCTGCTGCAATCGGTCACTGGAAGTTTTGGATGGAAGGACGGGCTGTCACTGGATTTCCTATAACTGTTCAGTGACTGTAGTGGAAGCTGATCCTAGATGTTAAATAAAAAATATGGGCAAAGCTGGAAGTGCATCAGAAACAGAGGTGAAGGACTCAGGAGGGTGGTGTAGAGATCATGGACACACCTGAACTTCAGGAGTCCTTCAGTTCTCTCTGGTTGTGTGACTCCATGACGGTTTCTCCCAACTTAATCATAATTTATTAGTTCTGCCAAGGGGGTTGTGCTTTCATCTGCATTTGTTATTTAGTTAGTAGGATTACACAAAACTACTGAACTGATTTCCTTGAAACTACATGGAGGAATAGGACATACCCCAAAGAAGTACCCATTCAATTCAGGAACTTATTTTAACTCTTTCTTTGCAGCATTTCCCACAGAATTAATTCACTCTATGGTTGCACATGTAAACACAATAACGTCTCTTTAACACGCAACAGATTCTGATTGAATAAGTGCACAGACTAAAGGGTGAAGAGAAGTTCTCTCATGGGAGAGATAACTATTGGTATATATTAGTATAAATATCAATTAAGCTCCAAGATTTTAACTATAACTATTTTTATAAAACACATGAACACATGTTGTGCTCCATCCTGAGTTTGCTGTTGTATTGTGGAAGATTTTACAGCCTGCAGGGGTGTGTGGTGGAGAAACAGAAGTGCTTAATTGCAAGTTTCATATCATAACTATATCTGACAGCATGCTTATTAAAACACTCTGTCAATAATTAGCTTTGAGAGATATGCAAATTGCCTCTGTATTCATGCAATTCTTCTGTAATTGCCAGCAGCTCCTCCTGACAAATAAATCAATGACCATTTACAAAAGGAACAATTCATTCATGACCATCCAGGCATCACGCAGCACACATCCTCTGGACATGTCTCCATTTACCCTTGATCAATGAGTTCATATGAGACGACGCCTGCTCAATTGAATGAATGTAGGTTTCTATATTGTGTATCTTCCTCTCAGGAAACCAGTCAGCATATTGTGTGACATTTTACTTGTATTTTATTTCATTATCTCATTCGCTTTTATTCAATGAATGGAGGACTCGATCTCACACATGAAAGAGAGGAAGAGAGAGAGAGAACAAGGAGTGGGAGAGATAGGGGATTGAGGTGAGCACTGAGTGACCTTGAGTTCTGTCATGAAGTGATGTCTCCAGTAATGCTGATTTCATTTGACAATGCAGACACTAGAGGGATTTGTGACACTTCATGCTCAGCTCTTGTCACAGTCATAGAAAAGGCATACACAGGCATTGACAGACATAGACAGACACA